CGCGACGCCGGTCCCGCCGGGAGTGTGGGTGTGAGGGCGCCCGCCGCCCGGGCTCTTGTTCCTGCCTCTGCACCCGGTGGGTGCGTGGGCTCGGCTGTGAGGAGTGATCGGTAGGTAGCGCTTGCTGAGCGTTTATCCCCCCTCCACCCCGCCAACCACTTGACCCTCCCGTGCTGTTTCCCGCGTAGACGGGAGCGGCCGTGGTACTCAGTGTAGACCGGCTGTGGAAGTGAAATGAGTGAATCCCCGGAGAAAAGCTTCGAACTGTGCCTGGCCCGAGGTAGGCGCACAGAAAAGTTAGCAGCTGTCATTACTTCCCAGGCGTACCCCGACTTCACTCACTCCGCTCTGTCCCCACCGCCTTCATCAGGCAGCTCCCCGAGCCCCTGCAGGAGCCTCCTCTCGTTATTCTCCACCCAGAGCGGTAAGGAACGGAGTCTTTTTTAAAAGGGGTAAACCGGGCCAAGGTCTCCTCCTCCCCTTATTAAAACCCTTCAGTGGAGCCCCGTTCTTAGAACAAAGTCCAGTATCTTTAACACGCCTTCCTCCCCCTCTTCCCCACTGCCTTCGTCCTGGGCCATTGCATTCCTCGCCCAAGTCCTTCTGTCTTCTCTTGCAATTATGTTACAGCCTCCTTCCCAACCTACTGCCTTTGCAAGTTGGGTCCCCTCTACTTGGGATACTGCTTCACCCCACGCCCGCTGGCTCCTTTTCATCCCTCAGGCCTCACTTAAATATTACTTATTCAGACTGTTGCAAAATTAGGGCATCCCTGATACTGTCTCATACCTTAAGGTGTAAGGAATGTCTGTAAAGATACTTTGTTTCCTTGTTTGTTTATTTTTGTGTTGGTCTGTTTTCTTTCCCCCTGAAACCATCTGTATGTTAACTCTTTATTCCCGGTGCTTGGCACATAGTAGCTGCTCAATGAGCATTTGTTGAATGAATGAACTCTGGGAGGTAGGTATGGTACCCCTATTAGAGAGGAGGAGACTGAGGTTCAGCAGCTAAGTCTGAATGTATGTGTACCACCTGGCAATGACTGGATTTGAGATCGGGGCCCCTGTTTGCCCACTACTGGCCACACAGGGCCTCAGTTGAGGAGCCTTACTACTTCCAGGCGCTCCTGATGATTTGCAAGCTCTGTAAGAAGCGACTAGAAGTATAGAATCTCGGGAGGAGAGGAAGAGCTAGCAGCTTTAAAATTTGCATCCACAAAATTTTTAAGTCAGTAAAAGTTCTAACATTTCATGTTGGCACTTGGTGGGAGAATTTCTTTAGATTTTCCACCCTCCTTGGCATCTGTTTTCCTCTTGTGAGATAAAGAAAGTGGAAATTAGACTGTGTGGCCTACAAAATAAAAGTGTTTTGCTTCAGTGCAAGTTCTTTGTCTGCAGGTTTTAGCAGTTTGATTGAGGACCAGGCCAGTAAAGGTAATTATTAAATGGTTTGGTCCTCATGGTAGTTCTTCTAATAGATAATGTATATACAGAATTGATCATTTGACGCTGCCTTGAGGACTTTGTTAAGATTTGGGGGAAGTAGCTTATCTTTGGGGAAGTAGGAAATAATCACCAAAGTCCTTCGGGGTTCATGCTTCAGTGAGGGATCGCTATGTAAATTCCAGTTTGACTGTAAAAATTTGAACATACTCAGAATTACTCTTGAAAGCCCTTAAATTGGCCTTAACCCCAACCACCAGTTGGAAGCTTCAGGGTCAACAATGAACATTTTTGTTTCGTTTTCCACTTTAGCTCAACCCCCATTCGTGGGGCATCTAAGAACAAGGTCGAGATTGAAAGACTAAGGGAGAGGAGGAGGAGGTGATCAGGATTTTTCCTGCATTTTCTTTGCCAAATTCTGTAGCAGGTCCTGGTAATGTGCCTCTGACCACCTGCAAAGCAGCTGATGTTGGTTACGTGGCTCAGCATCTGGTAGGTGTCAGTGCGCCGTGTGTGTTGCGGACGCTCATATGGTAGGGAACTTGAGAGCAGTAGAGTTAGTTTGCTGATGGCTTAGTGAATGAGACATAATGATATTTCCATCTTTCGTTTCCAGAAGTATAATGTCTCAGGAAGGTAGTTATGGGAGATGGACGATATCCAGTAGTGATGAAAGTGAGGAGGAAAAGCCCAACCTGGACAAGCCGTCTACCTCTCTTCTCCAGCCTGGGCAGGAAGCAGCATGTGAGCCAAGCTACACCTGCTCCGAGGCTCGGAAAGCTGCCCACAGGAGGAAAATGTCACCCGTGAAATTCAGCAACACAGATGCCATTTCAGAAGTTTTACCTCCCAAGAGGCAGAAGAGTGGTTCCCAGGAAGAGCTGGGTTGGTGTCTCTCCAGCAGTGACGACGAGTTGCCACCAGAGACGCAACAGAAGGCAGCTAAGAAAGTGGCTGTCAAAGAGGAGAAAGGCGTCTCCCCTCCCAAAGATGGTGCTGCCCTGAGAGCTGGAAGTCACAGCCCCCCTGCCCACCACGTGCGCACGGAGGATGGAGACGAGTATGAAACGTCAGGGGAAGGCCAGGACATTTGGGACATGCTGGTTAAAGGGAACCCCTTCCAATTCTACCTCACTAGAGTCTCAGGAATTAAGCCGAAGTATAACTCCGGAGCCCTCCACATCAAGGGTAAGTGGTGCTGGTGTCTGGAGCTGTCACACTGCTCTTGAGAGGCCCCGTTGGTGAAACTGTGAGGGTAGCCTGGTATTATCTCCAAGATCATCATGGTCTTAATCACTCTCAGGAAAAAGAAAAATACCATTTTGACAGCAAATGCAGGGGTTTGACCACAAACTGTTTACTTTGTCAGAAAATCAGAGGCTGTCTCTCACAGCCCTGTAGATCAACGCTTTGGAACGCTTCGTGCAATGTTTAAAATTATTTAACTATTAACTTAAAGATTAAACTTGACCAATAACACTATTAATGAAGGAGCAAATACTTGACAGCAGCAGTTCCCTTTGGTCCCTGGATCAGCAGCATCACCTAAAACCTGTTAAAAATGCACGTTCCCGACCCCACCCAGATTCATTGGGAGCAAGGCCCTGCAAAGTTTTAACAAGCCCTTTAGGGGATTCTAATGCCCAAGCAAGATTGAGAACCACTGCTTAGAAGTCTGGTTTTGTTTCCTGGCAAAGAAGCCAAAAAAGTTCCAGCATGCAAATAGATGTTTTAGTTCTGAACCGAAAGATGGCATTTGGTTGCTTTGGTCATTCCCTGGGGTGCATCTGTGTGGTATTGTGATATATACTAGGTCTTCATTCCTGGTTGCATTTGGTTTTTATCCTAAGCTCCTGAAACAGCTCCCAGGTAATTAAAGGTCAAAGACGTATGTTTTGTTATTCGAAACAAGCCCTGTTGTTCATCCACACCTGGGTTTATGTTAATAAAGTGACTTTTGGAAAGCCCCTAAGGGTGGGGGGGCTGGTTGCCCAGTGAACCAACCACGTGATTAAAGTTAGGACTTGCCAGCATCTTCCCCCACCCCCAGTTATAGGAGAAAGACTGGAGGATAAGTGATTTAATCGGTCATGCCTGTGTAATGAGGCCTCCTTAAAAAGCCCTAACTGGGTTTGGAGAGTTTCCAGGTTGATGAACAGGTGGAGGTGCTGGGAGGGTGCATCTGGAGAGGGCACGGCTCTCCATACCCTTTCCCCCTTACTGTGCCCTGTGCATCCTGTTCACCTGGCTGTTCTGAAGTGCCACCCTTTAATAATAAGCCAGTAATCTAGTAACGTGCTTTCCTGAGTTCTGTGAGATTTTCTAGCAGCTAACCTAACCAGAGGAGGGAATGGTTGGAACCCCCAAGTTATAGTCAGAAGTACAGGAGGTCTGGACTTGTGATTGGCATCAGAGGTGGGGGCAGGCTTGTGGGACTGAGCCCTTAATTGTGGGACCTGATGCTGCCTCCAGGTGGAGGGTGTCCACAACTTAGAGCAGTGAATACCTCTGCCCTGTCCTTCAGGGGAAGCTGGTTAGTCCTGGGTTGGGGAGGTCTCCTGAGAGAAACCTGAATGAGTACTTGAGGTAGTAAAAAATCAGAGATCTGGAAAGAATAACATGTATCATTGTCCTTATTGGCAGTTTCTAAAATTAACATCCAATATTGAAATTGTAGCTTTTAATTTTACATTGTATTTTATTAAAGAATATATAATATGTATTAATAGCACAGGGAAATTTCCTCTTGAATGCTATGGAACACGAAAGTCTGGCTTTGTAGTCATTTTTCAGTTCACCGTTTTCTAAGCCAAATTTTGAGCATCAGTGATTATTATTACTAGAGAATTCCTATCACAATATGAACTAGATTTGAATGTTTTGTCTTCTCAGATATTTTATCTCCTCTCTTTGGGACACTTGTATCTTCTGCACAGGTGAGTTTACAGTTAAGTTGTTTTGGGTTTTTTGGATGAATGGGGACAAATAATTAAACAACTCCATAAGAAAAGAGGGAGTGATAGGGACCTGTGCCTCAGTCCTGTGCAGGGTCCCTGGGATGACTCATGCCACAGCTGCAGTTGTGGGATCCATAGCCACCAGCGTGGAACGTGGATGCCACTATCTGTGGGCTCCTAGCTCTGGATTAGGCTACAGGGACTGGCTAAGAAGTCACTTTGGAAATTTCAGCCTGAGGGACTTCTTTTGGGAACACTGATCATCTCTTGGGACTCTGATGTGACCCCTCAGGAGGTGTGGGTAGAGAGGTGAAAGTCAGGTCAAGTTTAATTTGATTTTAAAAAGTAAGAAATTTCCTATACCTTCTGCATATTTGATTGCTCCTGCCAGACAAAGCTGGTCCTTTTGTGTTGATAAATCACCTTACTGCTCCAGGTTGTCAAGTAAATGGTCAGGGAAAAGGTTACTTCCCTGAGAAAGTGAAGCTTTCTATGATTAGGTATTTGGGGCTTGGCCTTGAGAATCCTGGTCTTCTTATAAAACCTTGAGGTGATTGAATCACTCTGTCCAGCAGGAGGGTCAAGGGTTACTCAGGTGTGGGAGGAGCCCCCCGGGGTAAGTCCAGTGCAGAACTTGGGGTCAAGATGTAATTGTTGTAAGCTTAGGGAACATCCAGTCCCAAGTGCCTGTTTACAGAGCTGGCTCTTAAGTTAGGCTGAGAGGAGATAGTTTTTCCTAAAAGTTCTTTTCATAATCACCTGGAGGGAGGAGATAAATTTATAAGCCCTTTTGTTTAAATTAATCAGAGAGCCCTCAGAAATAGCAAATGCAGATACTGCCAAAGCACACAGAGATGATTGCCCTGAACCTGTTTCCTTGCTCACTCCTCCGTTCATTCAGACTCCTTGGACCTCGTGTTCCCTTCAAGATGTAGGTTTATGAGTATTGTGTCAGAACTGTCTAGGTTTATGAATAAATAACCAAACAGTACTCCATATAGACTGGTTGGCTAAATTACCAGCGACTGACTTCCTTTTTTTTCCTCCCATCTAGTTTAACTACTGCTTTGATGTGCACTGGCTCGTAAGACAGTATCCACCAGAGTTCAGGTGAGTTCCCTGGGATGATAGACACCATCGTGACTGTCACGGGGCTTTGCAACACAAGACCTGTGCTTCTCAGGCAGCTGCCGGTCATCTTTTTTGCATGTCTTTTCAAAATATTGGGGAAATATTTTTTGATGTATCCTAACATATCACATGTGTTCCTTATACAGATTTTACCATTTGCTCTCTCCAGAAGCAGATAAGAACAAATTCCAACCCAAATAAGAGAACTTTATGTCCAGTGTTAATGTGAAGGGAAAGATCACTGCCACCCGCTGTCCAGCCCTGTGAGCATGCCCCCATGTGGCCAGCATGCCACACTTTACCTAACACATCAACGCTGTTCTGAGAATCGCTTTCTCAGATGGTTCTCCCTGTAGTTTAAGAGTTAATAAAGGGACCTCCAGGGCCTTCCCTTATCCAGGTAATGGAGGGGATCCATTTTCAGTCCATCTTCTGGAGTCCTCAGTGTGGGGTTTGGCAATACAGACCAAATAGCATCACGCAGTGACGTGCACCGTCCTGGTTTCTAACATCTACACAGCAGAACCCATAACTACAAGGAAGGCACACGCAGGAGAAATGATTGTCAGGTCCTCAAAGTCCTTGGTGCATTTAGGGAACAGATGGTGGAAACCATCATTAACCGGATAAAATGCCGTTGAAATTTCTCAAAACGTTGGCACTCAAGGGCTTGTGTTTGACCTGTGACACATAGGACTAGTTTTAGCTGCATGTGACAGAAACCCCAAAATAACGGTGGCTTAAGAGAAAAAATACATGCAGCCTAAAAAGTCCAGGTGGTAGACATTCGAGGTCTGGATTGGGGGCCAACGTGGTTCTCAGAGACATACCCTTCTGTCGGTCTGTCCCACCATCCCCGTGTGCGACTTCAGTCTTCAGAGTCACCTTGAGGTCCAGGATGGCACCTGGAGCTCCAGATCCCTGGTGTGTCCTGGAGGCAGGAAGGAAAGGGGAAGAAAGATGGAAGGACCGCGCCCCAGCCGAGCCCCTCTGGGCAGCCTTCCCAAAGTGCCTCTCGGCACCTGCTCGTGTTTCACTGAGCGGCGCTTGGTCACAGGACGACGACCAGCTGGGAGGCGCTGCGAATGAGGTCTTAGCCGAGCTCCCCTGTCCTGAATAAGATGGGGTTTGGGTAGGAAAGGAGAGGCGGCGGGCTGTCTGGGCGGCTCCTCTTGGCCATAGCCTCCCTGTTAGTTGTACTGGCACTTTTGTTATTTGTCCCTTTGCTTCTCAAAGACCTTGAAATCAAATTGTCACACCTTTCAAGTGTTACCAAAGTGTAGACTACAACTCCTTGTGTATCTGTTATGGGTTGAATTGTCTCACGCAAAAAAAGATCTGTTGGAATTCTGACCCCCAGTACCTCAGAGTGTGACCTTATTTGGAAGTAGGGTTTTTTCTGGGGATAATCAAGTTAAAATGAGGTCATTCAGGTGGATCTTGCTCTAATATGACTGGTGTCCTTATAAGAAGGGGAAATTTGGACCCAGGCACGTACAGAGTGAAGATGCTGGGAGAATACTGTCCAGGAGCCAGGAGAGAGGCCGGGAGCAGGTCCTTCCCTCCCAGCCCTCCCAGGGAACCAACCTGCTGGCACCTGGATCTCAGGCCGGGAGCAGGTCCCGCCCTGCCAAGGAACCAACTTGCTGGCACCTGGATCTCAGACTTGTTTCCGGAACCGAGAGACGAAAATTTCTGTTCAGTCCCCAGTTAGTCCCCAGCAAACTAATGCAGTACCCACCGGACTCTCAGTAACTAGTCAAGGGACAGAAGAGCCCGGCCTCTCCCACACCCACTCACTGCTGAGTGCACCTGGGGACCCCATCAGGAGCGTTGTAAGGAGGAGGAGTGACCTAAGTGTCAGGTTAAGGCAACATCCGGAATTGATAGAGAAATTCAGATTGTAGCGGTTATAGTGCCTTAGGTCATCGTTCAGATGCTGCCTGTGGTAGACTTTTCAGAAAAACAGAATGTGGAGGTTTATTAAGGGCAGTTGGCTCAGTCAGGAAGAGAACAAACTCTCCCTCCACTTTTTTTCCTGCTCAGGCGCTCGGAGGACTGGATGAGGCCCCCCACCCTGGGGAGGGCCGTCAGCTTTACTGAGCCCATCCTTTCAGATGCTCATCTCACCCAGAAACCCCCTCACAGACGCACCCGAAAGTGTTGTTTTGTCGACACCCTGTGGCCCAGTCAAGTTGACACATAAAGTTAACCATCACAACTGCCTTTTTGTGATAGTTTGTGGAACCAATAAATTTGAAGGAATTAATGCAGACTTCAACTTCTGTCAATAATGTTTAATCTTTTATTTTTTAAAAAGTCCTGATGATCTGAGAACACTAATTGTTTTAGGTTATAGAGTTCCTCTTACCTTGTTCTCTGTACTGTTTTTCTAGTTGTAAAGTAGAAAAAGTTGGGAAGGTGTGTTTCTTAGTTTTATTTGAACTAACATGCTAAAGTTCTTGGGGATTTGGTAGCTAGGCGTTTGTACCGGAAGTGCATTTTCTGTAATGTTTCTTTCTTTTGCACATTGCTCCTTCACTTATGGTAGAGAATCATTCTGCACAGTGATTGATGCATGTGGAAGTAGCTACATTTGTTCATCTTCAATGATTGTTGGAGAAAACTCCAACTTTTGTTTTGTTGGGAGCACTTGTAAAGGTATATTGATTTCTAAGGATTATCTCGCTTTGAATTAACTGGAAAAGATCATGGTTCCCTTAAAAACCTTTTTAACCTATTCCTGAAGAGTATTCTTATGTTGTCCTTTTAGGAATTAAAGCTACAGCATTTTCAGTGTACCTTGGGTTCTGTTTCATTGAAATAGAACCACCTTTAATGAGTCTGTGATGCAGTGGACCTGGGCCTGTTCACTCTTGTATCCTGGGAGTCTAGTGCAGTTCCTAGCACACAGTAGGAGCTTGGTGAAAGTAGGCCTGGTAAAGTTCCAACAGAAAGGAAACTATACTGTATAGTATGTTGCATCATACTATACAACAGTAATTTTATATCTTTTAACCTGTATGAATTTATTAACATATTAACACAGAGCTAACTATATCCCCTTTGGGACCAAAAATGATGATTCATTACTCAAGGACTTTCTTGAGTCACAACCCCTCTAGGTCACAGTAGAGCTTCAGGATCGGGCGCCATGGCCCCGTTGTAAAGGTAACTGGTCAGTGAAGATTAACTGATCACTGTTAGCCCTGTACTCAGTCCCCACAAAGGCCAGAAGCACGTGTAGGGTGTAGGGTGATAAGGAAGCTAGCATTCCCTCACTGGGCAAGAGTCTGGCTTTATGAATGATACATACTTCTGATCTCTTTTCAGGAAGAAACCAATCCTGCTTGTGCATGGCGATAAACGAGAAGCTAAGGCTCACTTACATGCCGAGGCAAAGCCCTATGAAAATATTTCCCTCTGCCAGGTAAGCTGCTTATTGCCATTTGAGGTCATGCTTGTTCTGAGACTTGGAAGGAAATTTAGACATTTCATCTATCTACCTGCTTAGTGCGGGAATCCTCTCTCTAGCATCCCCAACAGATACTTGTCTGGCTTTGGCTTGAATGCTTCCTGAGGTAGCCCTTGTGGTTATAAAGATTCTTCTTTATGTTGACCTCATATCTCTGTATTAGGGTTCTTTAGGGAAACAGTCTATGACAGGGTGACGGGATGTATGTTTGGGGGCTGCTGGCAAGTCCAAAATCCATGGAAGAGCAGGTGTTGCAGTTTGAGTCCACAGGTAGTCTGGAAACAATTCTCTCTTCCTTGAAGGAGTCCATCTTTTTTCTCTTGAGGCCTTCAACTGATTGGATATGGCCCACCTACATTGTGGAGAGTAATCTGTTCTACTCAAAGTCTACTAATGTAAATGTTAATCTCATCTGAAAAAATACCTTCACTGCAACATCTGACCAAATATCGATACTGTGGCCTAGCCAAGTTGACACATAAAATTAACCAACACAGCCTTCCTCCTTGTGACTGCTACACATTGGTCCTAATTTTCCCCCTCTGAGTAATTTTCCCCACATAGAATAAATCAGTAGAAATAGTGTTTTTCAAATACTAACTACCTGTCCTGAAAAGTTTAGGAGACATTGAGGCATACCTGATGGCGTGCTGCAGACTGGCCACTAGAGGGCGTAACAAGCCACAATCTTTTAAACCTTGTGCAAAGAACTATTCAGAAGCTCCCAGATCTAGTCTGAGGTACAGGATTGTGGCCCCATCCTGAACTATTGAAATACCTTTATGTCTTGTTTGTAAGATGAATTCTTGACTTTGACATCAGTCAAAGAGTCAGTGAACCCTAACACTTCTCCCATATTGTGCCTATGGGGCAGAGGATGGATACTGAGGCCTGCCGGTGGTCAAGGTTCAGATTACCTGGATCTATCCCAGCTCTCCATGACTAGCTGTGTCATTCTGGGCTCATCACCAAACTGCTTTAAGCCTAATCCCTTCATCTTTAACGTGGGCAGCTAATACTGGGCTTCACAGGGCTGTTGCACAAGGGATTTTGTGCATCTGCCCCAAAAAGCACCCTGTTGAAGCGATGATCATCCTGATTTTGTGCTTAGACTTGCCCCAAGTAACACAGCTTATAGCAAAACTAAACTCAGAAGCCAAGTCTCTTGGCCATTGCTTTTTCTGAGCTCAATATCAGTTTATAGAGTGGCAGTCTTCAATGTAATTTTGTAATTATAAAGACATCGAATACAGTTCCTTGTTCTCTCTTCTGAGGCCAGACTGCACGTGCATGCTGGTGTGTGAGCATCCCCAAACAGTGGGTGTGACAGTGTGGTCGACTGGGCCACCTGTCCCTGAGCATCTCCAAGACAGGGCCTGTGTCATACTCACCTGTGTGTTTCAGTTGCTCATCACTGCCTCCAGCAAACAGATCCACCCACCTGTCATGTGATTGGAGGGCCAGGCTTGTAGCAGTACTTGCCTCCATTTGTAGAGTCCTACCCGGTGCAGCCCCCTTTCCTACGCACTTGAAACACTTTTTCTCATTTACTCCTAACAGCTGTCTGAATCCCCTAACAGCTCCATCATTTTAAAGAGGAGTAAGAAGAAGCACGGAGATTTAAATATTTTTCAAAGTCATGCAAAGCTGTGAGGCTAGGGTTTTTGTGTTCCTAACTGCTGTTTTGATGTTTCTGTTTTAACTGTTTCATAGCCTGCATCTGGGGCATGTTCTGCTTAACCAAGGTCTTGCTATACTGGGTGTTAGAAAAATGTTTTGCTTCTCCACCCACCCCCATATGCATGTGAAGGAATTATTTTATAACATGAAAATGGATTTAACATGTTATCTTCTTCATTTTCATCATTTGCTATGTTATTAATATAAAAAAACTTCAGTTTTAATATCATAACACAAGTCTTTCTGCTGCCGCAACATTCAGTATTTTTTGAATATGCTATGAAAACTGCATTTATTAATTTCTGTATAAATCAAGTATGTCATTTAAAAACTTTGCAGTCTCGTTTGTTTTTATTAGATTTTAGTAACTAAAGAAGTTAGGCTTTTCAGCTTCTAATTTCTATAATTAAAAATGCAGAAAGTATTGAATCATTCTGGGTAACTTTAAAAAAGTTTTTTTAAAAACGGGCCTCACTGAATGTTATAAAAGCTGTATTGTTGATCAAGGGCTTGTCCACTAGAGGGCAGTAAAGTAAGAAGAGAAAGTTCACCTGCACCTTTTCTAATTTAATTTCCGATAGATAGGAATATTTTGAGGTTTCTTTTTAAGTAAGTGACTTGACTTCTTTCTCATCCTAGGCAAAGTTGGATATTGCATTTGGAACACACCACACGTAAGCAATTTTTATGAAATGGGGGAGGGTATGATTTTAATAGACCAAAGGATACTATTCAAAAAGTGCCCTTGGAGGAGCTCAGGTGTGAT